CGAGATAGCAGGCTCACGCGTGGAGCCTAGTGAGCGCCACTGGGCGGTAGTAAAGGGAGGGAGGCGGAGAAGGAGAAGGAGGAGGTGAGAATGGGGCGGAGGAGGAGGAAGAGGAGGAGGAGGAGGAGGAGGAGCAAGAGGAGGAGGAGGAGGAGGAGGAGGAGGAGCAGAAGGGAGGGCAGGGAGGACGGACATGAGGGCGCTCTGCAAGGTGATAACAAGAGATCTGGGTGTGTGGTCGCCCCTCTAAGTTGCTGGGGGCAGCAGCAACGGGAGGGCGATCTACTCGTCGAGCTGACGCCGATGGGCACGATCTCTCCCGACTTACGCTCCTCCTTGTCCTCCTCCTCCTCCTCCTCTTCCTCCTCCTCCTCCTCCTCCTCCTCCTCTCATCATCATCATCTCTCATCATCATCATCATCATCATCATCATCATCATCATCATCGTCGTCGTCGTCGTCGTCGTCGTCGTCGTCGTCGTCGTCGTCGTCGTCGCCATCACCACCACAATCACCATCACCGTCACCCTCGCCACCACCACCATCAGTCTCATTACCAACGTTATCATCGTCATCAACAGCAGCATCATCAGCAGCACCACCACCCACCAGCATCATCGTCATCATCATCAGCATTATCATCAGTATCATCATCATGATCGCATCTGAATCAAACCGATCATCGCAGACATCGCAACCATCGACATCAGCATAAGCATCAGCATCACACTCAGCAACAACATCATCATCACCATCATCATCATCCTAAGTATCATCATCGTCACCATCATCCTCAACATCATCAGCATCATCGTCAGCATCCGCATCACCAACGCAACACCAACATACTAAGAATCATCATCATCATCATCAGCATCGTGATCGTCGTCAGCAGAATCAGCATCAGCATCATCATCAGCAGTACCATCATCAAGAGCATCGTCACCATCATAATCATCATCATCACCACCCTCGTCATGACCCTCATCCTTATCAGCATCACCGAAAATCAGCATCCTCACCACAGGCATCGTCATCATCGTCATCATCAGAAGTACCAACATGATGAACGAACCAATCAGCATCATTATCAACACCATCATCACCGACGTCATCAGAATTGTCAGGATTCTACCCCTCCTTACTATCATCGTCATCATCACCATCGCCATCACAATCACCACCATCAGCATAACCACCACCACCATAATCATCATCATCAGCATCATCACCCAATTCAGCATCATCATCATCAGCAGCATCGTCGTACAAATGAGCATTGGCATCAGCATCATCAACACCATCTGCATCGACATCATCAAAATTGTCTGCAACATCCTCCCCGTCATCACCAGCATCATCATCATCATCATCATCATCACCACCACCCGAACCATCACGATCAACACCATCACCAGCATCACCACCACCACCACCATGACCATCACCGTAAACACCACCTCATCATCTTCAGCAGCATCAGCAGCATCACCACCATCATCAGCATCATCAACATCATCATCATCAACATCGTCAACGTCATAATGATACGAATACTGAAACGAATACGGACGATACTCGAAACTAAATTGATAATACTACACGTAAGAATCATCATCATCATCAGCATCATAATCATCATCATCATCATCATCATCATCATCATCATCATCATCATCATCATCATCATCATCAACATCGTCATCATCAGCATCACCATTATCAGTAGCATCCGCAGCATCATCATCAGCATCATCATCAGCAGCATCAGCAGCATCGGCATCACCACCACCACCATCATCGTCATCATCATCAGCAGCAGCATCAACTTCATCGTCGCAGTGTTTGCATAATCATCGTCAGTGTCGTCTTCATCAGCATCATCATGAGCAGCAGCATCACCATTATTGGGCTGTCCTGTGGCCTCCCCGCTTCTCTCTGGAGCGTTGCCAGAGCCCCCGAGACGAAGGTCGCCATGGCAGGACCATCTGGGCGCCCTCTTCCAGGTCCGCCGCCCCACTTTTCCATCGATCCAGCACTCCGCAGAGCGGTCCCGCCGACGTGAGAGCGGCATGGCGGCAAGGTCAACTACAAGGGCGGCGGGAACTCACGGTGCCGCTGCCGCTGCAACCTGGATAGGCCCCTCCTGACGGGCCAGTATCCCCACACAGAGTGGACTTGGTGAAGCAGGCCAGCCCTGCCCCGCGCTGCCCCCCATCTGCTGCGAGACTGGTCCACTTCCTTCTCATCCTGCCCCTCCACCATCTCCTCCTCCTCCTCGCACGTAGTTCGGACCAAGTTCGTTCGCATTACGGTCCCTCTATCTTAGCTTGCTGCAATAGCTGAGAGCGAGCAGCACGTGCAGACCTAGGAAACTAATTGGTCTAGCCTCTTGGGGCCCCCTCGGGGCGCGTTGCACAAGTAAAAGAGCAACACCAGTCTCTTGACCCCACCTCCACCTCCTCCACCACGTCCACCTCCACCTCCACCACCGCCTCCTCCTCCTCTTCCTCCTCCTCCTCCTCCCCCTCCCCATCCTCCTCCTCCTCTTCCTCCTTCTCCTCTTTTACCTTAAACAAAACTTAGGTAAGTACCTGTGGCGTTCTCCTCCTCCTCCTCCTCCTCATCCTCTCTTCCTCCTCCTCCTCCTCCTCATCCTCCTCCTCCTCCACATCCACCTATCCTCCTCCTCCTCCTGCTCCTCCTCCTCCTCCTCCACCTCCTCCTCTTGCTCCTCCGGCTCCTCCACTCCTCCTCCTTCTCTCCTCCTCCTCCTAACCGCCTCCTCCTCCTCCTCCTCCTCCTCCTCCTCCTCCTCCTCCGCTAAGTGGATTGCAGTGGATGCGCCGTTGAGTATTCCTGACTGGCAAACCACAGGCTTCAGGTATGGTGCTAATTGTTTTGGTGTCGGCAGCGTTGACCACCCGTTGTTTGGGTTCGGCGATGCAAGTGGCGGCATCGAGACCAGTCATCCAATCCTGAGGCGAGTGGGAGTCGGCCTAGCAGTGTCCACGAACATCGATGCGAGTGACGACGCAGCCTTTGGTCTGTGGGGAGCACTGCCAGGCAGTCGCCAGGTGGTTGCCCGCGGTGAGCTGCAGGCATTGCTTCTGTTCCTGGACGGCAGTGACGGCAGCGCGGTATTCGTGACCGACAACGAGGCGGTGTCGATAGGTTGGCATTGTTTCAGATATGACAAGCCCGATGGGCCCGACGCTGACCTGTGGTGGCAGATCGGCCGAGTGTTGGCACGGAAACCGACCCTGTCGTGCGCAGTACTGTCTGTTCATTCTCACCAGGATGTGATTGCCGTAGCTGAGCGCACGGCACCAGAGTTTCTGATCAAGGGGAACGCGCTGGCCGACGAGTACGCAGGAGTGGGCGCCCAGCTCGCTAGACTGCCAGAGGCCACGCGTTTCAGATACCACCAGGCAGAGCACATGGCGTACCTCGTGAGGCTGCGGATCTTGCAGAGCCAGATCGAGGTGCTGAAGGCTGAGGAAATTGAGAGAGCCCAGTCGGGGCTGAGACGTGAGAAAAAGGCTCCCGTCGCTTGCCCGCCTGCCCCCTCTGTATGTGTTATGTTCAACTCTCAGCATTCACTGTGTGCTAATGATCCTCGCAGGTGTAGTAGGTGCAGGGGGTCGACCACTAAGGCTAAACAAACCGCTTGGCTCCAGTTTCAGTGTTTCGACCTGTTGAATGTGAATGGTTATGTTTTTGAACTCTCCCCTGGGCGGCGGGCGCACATTGGGGGAGGTTTTGCCCACCAGAGCCATCAATTAAGATATCACGCGGGGCTGGGGGTCTGGTTTTGCACAGCGTGTGGGTATTACGCAGCTCAGCAGCTCGTTAACCTAGCGCAATTGTGCCCAGACAGAGTTGAAGGTAATCGGGCTGATTACCTTGATCGAATTTCACGTAATCTTTGGCCTAAGGTCTACAGCAAAGCCGAGCGCGCCAAGAGATCTAAGTAATTTAAGCGTCACCGACCTAGTCGCGATATCCAGAACTTCAGAACTCCTCCTCCTCCTCCTCCTCCTCCTCCTCCTTCCTCCTTCTCCTCCTCCTCCTCCTCCTCCTCCTCCTCCTCCTCCTCCTCCTCGCCCTGGCCCTCTCCCTGGAGCCCCGGCCTGCCTCGCCTGCCGCGCTCGCGCGCGGGGAGACGCCGGGGGGAGGGGGGAGGGGGGAGCGGCGCCCCCCCCCCCCCCGCGAAGCCTGGCGGGTCGCGGCGCGGTGCACGGCCGCCCGCTCAGTGGGCGGCGCACGTGCGGGCAAGAGGCGTACAGTCGGGGCGTTGCCCTAAGGAACCCAAACCCAGACCCCCTCGAGTAATGAAAAAATCACGACGGGAGGTTTTTCCTAATTTTCGGCCTCCAGGGGCCCTTACCGGCCCTCAGGACCGTCAAAAAACGATTCAGGATGAAAAGCCGGTCCCAGGGAAGGGGTCCGGACCTCTGGGGGTCGCGTCATGAAAAAATCATGACGTCGGGGGTCTGGGAATAAGGAACGAGGCCCCTTCTCCCCCATAAGCTAAACCTCGATGTCCCATGGAAGACCTCAGGAAAACCCGGGGCAAACCTTGAAACAATCAAGGAACACCGAGCCCCTCCCCAGCGAGAAGGGTTCCTTCTTCAGCGCCCCGACTGTATCCGTATCCGTTGCAGCTTGGAGTCTCGGGCTCCCCTCCCCGGACACCCAAAGCGCATGGACACGCCAAAACGAAAAGCTGCCCCCTGGAGCCTCCAGGCTGGAGGCATCCCTGCCCACAACGCCTGGGCCCTCTGGCACCCCCTAACCCGGCCACCAAAAGTCCAGGCCGCAGCGGATGTGGGTGCAGACCCTGCCCGCGGAGCCTGCACCAGAGCTGGCCTGCTCACAGCTGCACCTCCCTGGGTGCAGGGCCCTGCCCGCGGCACACGACCTAAAGATGGCCTATTCACAGCTGCACCTCCCTGGACACAGACCCTGCCCGCGGAGCACGAGCTAAAGATGGCATATTCACAGCTTCACCTCCCGCGCTGCGCCCCCGCGCGCGGGGGCCATCCGCGGCGCCAGGCCTGGGAGGACGCCAGCTGCGCACACACACACATACATACTATATAATATAATATAATATAATATAATATAATATAATATTATAATATAATATAATATAATATAATATAATATAATATAATATAATATAACATAATATATTATATATAAATAAAATATATTATAATATAGTATACTATGAAATATAATATAATATTAGTATATATAATATTATATAATATAATATATATAATATAATATAATATATATAATATAAAATAATATAATATAAATGTATATAATATAATATAATAGAATATGATATAATATAATATAATAATAATAGATATAAATAATAATATAATATAGATAATATAATATAATATATATAATATAATATAATATAATATTGCAATACAATATAAATATAATATAATATAATATAAATTAATATAATGATATAATACCATATAAAATAATAGAATATAATACAATATAATATGATATGGTATAATATAATACAACAAAATAAAATATTATAATATAATAGACTAGAACAGAATATAATTAATATAATATAATAGAATAGATATAATATAATATAATATAATATATATATTAATATAAATAATATAATATAATATACTATATTATAATACAACATAACAATATAATCCATATAATATATATAATATAATATCAATATATAATATACTATAATATAATATAATATATATAAATATAATATAATATAAGTTTATATAATACAATATAATATAATATAATAAAATATAAAATAATATAATATGATAGAGTATAATACACTATAATACAATATAATATAATATAATAGACTATAATATAATATAATACAATATAATATAATATAATATAATCGAGCATATCTATATATAATATACATCTATATATATATATATATATATATATATATATCACAGACACCCCGGCCACGCCCGCCCTTGAAACCCAGAGCGGCGCTTTGTGATGCGCCCTCGCGGGCTGACCAGAAGGGCGCACCCCCGACAAACCCCCCGCCCCCAGAAGAGGCTGGACCCCCCCGGCCGACCCGCAGAACAGGGACGCACCGCAAGGATGCCAGGGCCTTGGACGGCCACGTCGACCCTTGGCGAGCGCGGGGCACGGCCGGCGCGGCCAAGGAGGGGCCGAAGGGGGAGGATTGGCAAGGGCAACCTTGGCAAGTGGCTCGCCCTCATTATGCAGGTTGCCTGTACCGGGGTCCTTCCCTGGCGATCCGCCATCGTGCCTGGAGGCACGGAGTGGAGTGCCATGAGGTCCCTCAGGGCCCTCTGCGCTGCGTACTGTGGTTCTCTCGGAGGAGCCCACAGCCCCCAGTGCTGGTGCGCTTCTGGCCTCCCGTGGGGCTTGTGGCAGGCCTCTTGGGGCGTGTTGCAGGATTGCCCATTGTCCGAACATGGCCGTTCTGGTTGAGACATACTCAGGAAATCTGCCCTCGAGGGAGGAACAAAAAAGAGCCTCCGAGCGTTCTGGGTGCAAGATGGCCCCCGAGATTGCCACGAGGCCCCCAAGAGGGCTCACGAGGCCCCCAAGACGCCCCAAGAATCTCCTAAGATGGGCGCACGGGGCCACAATCATAGATTTTCTGTGATTCTTGACAAATTTTAGCGTTGTCGCCTTTTCGGGCTCCCGCCGCTTTGCGACGGTCCAAGAGGCCCCCAAGATTGCTTCAAGACGGCCGAAGAGGCCCCCAATATTGCCCCAAGACGGCCCTTTATGCCCCCAAGAGGGCCCGAAGACGGCCCAAGAGTGTCCCAGAAGGGAAAATCGAACTCACATGTTGAGCCCTCCGCCCCAAGACCCTTGAGACAGCCAGCAAGCCCAGAAGAGGCTGGCAAGAAGCTCCAGGAGGCCCCCAAGAAGCACAAAGAGGCATCTCAACAACCTCCGAGAAGCTCCCGAGAGGCATCCCAAGAGATCCCCGCGGGCCTCCCAGAGGCCTCTGACCAATAACTAACCCAAGCACGGTAACGGTACGGGCCAAAGGCCATCGGCTAGTCTTTCGAGCCGCGTCGAGTCCTGGCGACGAGGGGGACCCCCAAATGCGCCCGAAGACTGGAAGCCCAGGGCCCAGGACGGGCCTGGCCGGGACCAATGTCTGGGGAAACCGAAAGATACCGATACCGCTGCTCCCTGGACAGCTCCCGGGGTGCGTTCTGACCAGAATTCCGAAGCGAATCCAACAGTGGAGACGAGGCCGTCCGAGGAGGCCCAAAAAGGGGAAAACGGGCCAAGGGTGGCGGCACGGGTACCTTTTCCTCCTCTGGGTGTCTTGGCGTGCAGTTGGCGTCCCGCGAGGGCCGTCGTCGTCGTCGCTGTCCTGGTCCGCGAAGCGCCCGTCCGACGGCGCGGAGTTCGGGTCCACGGCGCGCGACGTCACCGAGGGCGCGGCCATGGAGCGGTCGTCCTCTCGGCGGTCTGACGTCGGTCGGCGGCGGCGGCCCGCGGCCACTACGACGACGACGACGACGACGACGACGACGACGACGACGACGACGACGACGACGACGAACGGGTGCGGCTGCGGCGGCGACGTCGCCGAGGGGGCGGCCATGGAGCGGACGTCCTCGGTGGTGCCGCGGTCGTCGTCGGCCAGCGGCCTGCGCTTGGACGAGTCGTCCCCGGAGCCGAGCAGGTAGGACAGGGGCCAGGGCAGCCGGAGGACCGAGGCGCCCGTCTCGTGGAGGCCCCGGACCCAGCTGGGCACCTGCGGTGGGGAAGAGAGGAGTGCGATCAAGAAGTGCCAGGAAGAAGAACGCATGTGATACAAGAGATCGAGAGCGAAAACAGACAACGAGCGAGAGAGAGAGGGGGGGAAAGAGCGAGAGAAAGAGAGTGAGATAGAGCGAGCGAGAGCGAGCGAGACAAGCGAGAGATATAGGAGCAGGAGACAGGAAAATAGAGAGAGAGCGCGCGACAACGAACAAGAGAGAAACGAAATCCTTTCGGAGCAACGGCGAAGCGAACAGTGAGAAGCGCTGCAGACGTCGGCAAGGCAGACGCGCGTGGGTGGGCCGAAGACCGGCCTGCGCTCCCACGAGAGGTCACCGTGAATGCATAGATTTATACGTACACACATACATCTACAAGACTGCATTGGCGCTTCGCGCCATGCACCTTGGTCCTGCACGCCTTACATACAGGTACCATGAGAGAGGTATATGAGTCAAAACAGCGATCGTTTTGGGTTGCCGTTTTCGCCAGCACCGTTCTCAGAATGTTGTTCCTTCTCTTTCCCTCATGTGCCCTCTTCCTGTCTTTTCCTCGCTCTCGCCCAAATTGCCTCGCGGACCCTTCCCCGTCCTCCTCAGATTTGTTTGCAGAGGCTCCTCCGAGGCGAGCTTCTGGAAGACCTCGCGAAAGCTTTTTGGGGGCTCCTCAGGCACCTCTGGAGACGTCCCTAGAGCCTTTTAACGGCCTTTGGGGAGTTCCTCGGGCCACCATGCCGCGAACCGTGGTCTCGGGTCACAGTTTGAATGATTCCGGAGGGCGTATTGGGGCAATTTTAGCCCGTCTGATGGCCCTCTGTGGGCAGTTTCGGAGCCCTCTTGGGCCTTGTTGGTGCTCTCTTGGGACTGTCAGGAATTTTTGTTGGTCGTCTTGGAGTGCCTTTCGGGCGTTCTCGGACGCCCAGAAGACCGAACAACCGAGTAGCCCCAAATCGTAAATAAAACTATGGGAAATCAACCACTTGTGCGTTTCTAAATCCTTTTCGGGGTAAAATCTGGGCAGCCCTCGGGCGTCTTCGGGGCCGCTGGAGGCCATCCTGGACCGTCTTCAGGGTCTCTTCGGACCCCCGCCGACCCGTTTGCACGGATTGGCAGGGACTTCCAGCGGCCCGGAAATTTCGCGAAACCCTCCGAGGAGGCGTCCAGGAGCCCCCGATGCCAGGGATCCCGTTTCGGGGGGGGGGGGGGGTCCGCAGGGTTCCAGATTATCAGAATGTAGAGGAGGGAGTTGCATACACAAATAGATGTATAAAAAAAGAGAGAGAGAGAGAGAGAGAGAGAGCAAAAAAAACAAACAAAAAGAGAGCGAGAGAGAGTGACAGAAAGAGAGAGAGCGAGAGAGAGAGAGAGGCGCACAGACGCTAATGTACACGAGGCTGTGTTCGCACGCGGAGCCCGCGAAGGGGCCGAGCGCGGGATGAACGTGCGGAGGGGCGGCGACTCCAGCTGCAGCAGACACATACGATAAGAGATCTTGATATACAAACTCTTGGGCACACTGCTTGGCTGATGTTGGACTTCGCGAAACCCCCGAGAACTCCAGTGGGTGCAAGGGGCCGCCAGGGAAGAAGAAATCTCCGCGGGGGACCAGATGGCAGGCTGATGCCTTATTTGATGCTGGTGGTAATGCTTCGGCCACCTTGGAAGCCATAGCATTACCACCATCGCCGAGACCAGGATACTCTTCCCTCGGTGGAGGCACGCCGCCGATATTGGTGGTGGTGTCAACCTCGAGGCCTGCAGGCCATCTCCTTGAGTGTTGCTCGCTCTTGCTCACTGATTCTTCTTGCAGCTGGAGGGATACGGGGCGCATCCCCTGCCAGACGGGGGCCCTCGCCGAGATGGCAGGCGCAGGGGGCGCCCGCCCTCCTCTGGCTGCTTGACTGACGCCCTTGACAAGGGTCGCCTCCACGGGTCACATGGCAACTGCGTCAGCAGAGCAAGATGCACAACGACTCGGGAGCGCCCACACATAGCCGAATGTGACTGTGGGTGTTTGGCTTGCAACATGCAGTTGCCGGCATGGTTCCTCTGGCTCCCATGCAAGATCCACAGCCAAGGCTGCAGCAAGAAGCTCCGCCTCGAATGCCGACCGGGTGTCCCCGAGACAAAGAAGCCGCCGTCAAAATATACCTGCACGCGCAATCCACCAACCAACGCACGTGCGATAACCTCAGGCGAGACAGCGTCGACCCCCGAATGACTGTCCAGCACGACGTTGCAGACTAGATCTGCAGCTGCGTTGCATCCTCGCGGTCTCCATTGGCGCGCGTTGAAAAATACGGTTTTGCATTCGAACGTTGTATTGTAAGAGGTCGTTGATGTGCCCCTATGCACGCTGGACCGCCGGCTCGCAACTGGGATTTGTCACCCGCGATTCCACGTTGATGAGCTCCGCAAGGACGGCATTGCCAACGACAAAATCTAGCGGCGACCAGGCACTGCGTTGCACCCACACCTAGTCCCGCTGCAACCTGGTGGGCACGCGCATATCCCGCACCGGAGTCGCCTCCTGCGTACATACACGGACATGAAGTAAAACTCGGGTGTAAGAACTCGGCGGCGCAGGAAGCCGCAGCTCACGTCTACAACGCACGCGCGTTTGTCAGCCGTCCACTCCGACAAATTAGGACACGATGCGAGCTGGTATAGCTATCCCATGCCCCAAGCACACGTGAACATAGCGTAGACATGCTCCTGCGGCCCATGCTGTCATCCCGCTTGCGTTTGTGAGCGGACTCTTGCTTGGCACTCTCCCACCTCTCAGGTCCCGCCGCTGTTAACTTTCCCTGCCGTAATTGTGGGCACACGCGCTCAAATTTCATGACGTGGATCGGCTTGAAACTGCAATAACCCATCCATTGGTCTAGACGGTCAGCGATGCGTTTGTTGAAATGCATTGCCCCTTCTTCCGGTGCCCGTGTGAGCCGCATCACGCGCTGCATGGCGTTACTCTCCCATCATAGTATTTCCATCAGACTGGTCGCCTTCCAGCGGAGAATGAGAGATAGGTACATAGCAGCCGCGCGAGGCACTGCCGCGCAGGCGCGCAATTCCAAACTGACTGGAACCGCACCTGCAAGTTATGTGCGGAAGCGGAAAAACACCACCAAATCCCCCCTTGCAAGACGGTGATGTCGCAACGCTTGCGTCGGCATCTCTGCGCCCAGGACACAGCGCACTTCGGCTCAAACCCTTCGCCCTGGACGACGTGCACGCGGCTGGACAAGTCGACGCCCACTGTGAGAATCTCGAGCGAGGGAGGCTTTCATTCCCAACCGTACTGGTAATGCATCGCTGCAGATATTGAATGCCCCATAAAATCGCATCGGTCGGCGCTGGCTGTAAGAGGAAGTAAGTCTCCAACCACCCTGCACTGGAAGCCCTGGCCGGCGATTCGAGGAGCGCAAAGCCGAGAGCAACCCTGTTCCACTGGGATTCCAAATCATGCAGGAAGCATTCGAACATGAATACGAATAGTTCTGGGTGAGCTTCCCCACCAGTCCTCAAGCCTCTACAAATTCCAAAGTCACAAGACTCCGCGACTCCGGGAACTGACAGGCGCACGTGCACTCCGTTGACCTCCCGCGCTAACGCTAAAGCTTGATGAGGTGATGCCCGTAGGTGGCTGTGCACGCCCAGAAGATCACAATGCCGTACAGAATCGCAAGCTGTGAGCACAGCTCGCACTCCAAGCACACCCGTAGCCCGGGGCTACTTCTTGGCATAGCATATGCTTTCATACGATGCACGGGATATATCATCATTCAAAGTCCGACCGACTTTTGCAAACGTACTCTTTAGTTTTACAAGGTTGCGCCACCGTTTTGAATGCAAAGGCGTAGGAGGTGGCCTGATAAAGATTCCCCAAACGCGCCGATAAGGCCCAGCCAACTAAAATCTGAGAAGGCACGTGGGTTTGGATTTTCCTGCGCCTCTCAGCGGACGCACGAACGAAGCAGCCGCCGCCAGGAAGCCGGCGGCCCTGCAGGGGAGGCCCGCGCGCTAGTCGCGCGCAGGCCTTCTACGAAGGCCACTCGATGTGGGATCAGGCCAAAAGCAAATCAAACGTGAAACATTTGCACGAGACGCCGCGCGTTCATCGCCAAACGCGCTGCAGAAAATGACTCTCATTCTCCTGCCAAAGAACCTCGTTCGATGCCGCGTGCGCCCACGAGCTCCAGCCGGCGTGCTCTGCACATGACACCAATTCGTTCTCCATTGTTTTGGAATGGCCGGGCCGCGAGCGAATCGGGCAACCCGCTGTCCCCCTTGATTGCTCGCCCCACCAGGCATGGCCCCCCCCCCAAAATGCGTCATTCGTTTCGTCGACCGCTTGTCTGGCATGTTGATGATGTTCCCAGCCACTTTCACTTTGCCTTTAAATACTGGTCCACTCAACATGCGACCTTTGCTTCGCGTGTTTGTTTCTCAACAAGAATTCGCGTCGCCCTCCGAATCCATGACACGTAATCCCCTTTCTGGGTGCCTGACTGGCCTTGCACTCCGTCTCAACATGCACCGCTGCACGCTTCTCTGTTTTCTCTTTTGCCGGACAGTCGAATTCCATGTTTCCGAACACCAGAACACTTGATTTCGAGACTGTCATATCGCATAGCTGTAACCTTTTGGCTTCAGAGCTAGACGTCTTCAATAAAGCTTCTGGCAGGCTTGGAGACTTGTCCCAGCCAGACCACACTCTGTGATCAAATTCCGCTTACATAGAACCACTCATTCTTACCATTGCACCAAAAACTGTGAATCCGACATTGCAGCTGACTAATGGGTACTATTGTCCAGCTAACTTGACTTTCTTGTTTGAGGGTGCAGTTGTTCCCGAACACTGCACGCTGCAAGTTGCCTTCCTGCGCCTCTGAGAACATATCGTTGTCAAGTCGGTGTATCTTACAAGCTCCATTCGATTCGAGCCACCGTTTTTCGAACAGCTCGGAAACGCAACATGTCAACCAATTTGGTA